TTTTATCGCAAACATCATGAATAAAACTAAACTTAAATTTAACATTTTTCTCAGCCACGTATTTCTAAAGAGATGCTCACACTAACTAAATCTATTTTCATCACAAGGAATTTTTGTTCTGTTCTCTTAGGGAGTTGCCAGGTTTCGTATCCATAAAATGCAATGCTTTTAAAAATGCTATTACATAGTTGTATTTTCTCTGTTTAGAGATAATTTTTGATCAAAATAGTGAGTTAAGTGCGCCTATTATTTGTTTCCCTTTTATGATTTGTTCTTTGATTTCTTTGATATAACAAAATGGATATACTCGAAACCGGACGAAATTATATTTTTATATTCTAAGTTTCAGCAGTTCATTGTTTTAGTTCCTTATATGCACATGTATTTCGTTTTATTTAGTTAATATTTAGTCCCCATTGCTCATATTCCAGTATTAGTTTTTTTGTCATGAACTGCAGATCTTTCTGATCTTTTGCGACGACTACATGATCATCTTAGAAAAGAAAGCATATATAGGGTTGTTTCATCGTTTTTATAATTTTCGTAATTTATTTCAGTGTGATATTTTCCTGATTTTGTATTTCATTTGTTTGAAATAAGCATTCTTTACACAAGTGTTCTTTGTCTACTTTCGCTAGTATCACCCCCTACCTTTTGAAATCGGAGCACGTAGTCTGGCATTGAAGGTATTGCTCCAACTTTTTGAGTGGGTATGGAAAGAATAAATATAGGCTTCGTCCATGTATATTTTAAGTCGGTCCTGTCCTGTCTCTTTTTTTTTAATATACCAAAGAAAATTTGTTCTTAATGGTTGAATTTCCGGTTTTTCCAATAAAAGTTTTTCCATTGTCTAATTTTTGCATTTTTTTTTCCGGAAACACTAATGGCTATTCTCAAAGCTTCATGCGATGCATTGGAGTTTTTAAGTTGTAAATTTTCTATGGGTTCTTTGTATAGTTGGAACCTTTTTTTGTACTACAAAAATCACAAAAATTGCTTTATGGTGCCTAAACCTGCACTTGCTGCTATTGCAACACGTTTCTGCATTAGCTTTGACTCTACTTAAGATACTGTGTCCCTTGCTTGTTTGCGTAACATTCGCTAGGATTTCTCGGTTTTGCCCGGACTTAATTTTTGATTCAATTTTGATTTAAATTTCATTTCACGTAACTCATTATTTCGATTCAATTTTAATTTAAATTTCAGGTAATGTCGCTGTCACTGTACTCCAAGAAAATTCTGTCATAGCCCATATTGACCGAAGTTTAAAGGTGAATTTTACTTACTAAGCGCTACTAGTTTTTTAGAAAGGGTGGAGAAACTCAGAGTTTCAAGAGGAGTAACTAAAGAGAGTCTACTTCAGTCAGCTCCAGAACTGTTTACCAAAGACGCTTTACTCTGGTATCGAATAAGAAATTTTACGTACTGGGACATCCTGGTCCAGAAACTTAGGTCTGGTTTTTGGCTTCATGACTTTGAACATTCCTTATGGGAGGAAATCCGAGGAAGAACCCAGGGCTCACAGTGATAAAATATCTTTCAATCATGAAAAATTTATTCAAGAAACTACTAATCCTTTCTAAGGAAGAAGAAAGAGTAAACATGATTCGTAGGAATATGCTTCTGTATATTTAGCTGGGTTTAGCTTTCACTAAATTTACAACATTAGTAATTTTGTTCATTGGTCAATGTTATGGAAGCAACGGAAATAAGGATTCGACAATTTTGCCTCCTCCTTCAAGCATCAGACTTGACTATCAGGTAGGACCTGATTTAGCTTCTAGAAAGCCACAAACTTCTATTTTTACCAGTCCGGTTACAAGACCTGTATTTACAGAGGAACTTGCAAATAGCGATAAATCTTAACCTTTGGATAAAGGTACAGGCTTTATATGTGGATCTGAGGAACGCAAGTTTAAAAATTGTAGCCCCTTAAGAAATTCTTTTGTTATAAATGTGGATGCAACAATGTGGAAACAAAAAACTGTCCAAGATATTAAAAAACCGCAGCCTTTCTCCCTCGGTAAGTCGGATGAATGCAGCAGTCTTTAAATACATTTTAGCTCATGATCAAGATGATCAATGGCCATACTTGACTGTCTCAATCCTTGAAAAAAAATCATGGACAATATCTTACATGAACACAAGTCTCTGCTTTTTTATCTAGAAGAGAATACCCAAATATCCAGAAATTACAAATCCTTAACAAGCAAGATAATAAATAGCTGCAAAAATTGAACATTTGTTGAATAATTCTGTGGATGTCTTTTGATTTTGCAAATCCTCGGAGAGATTCATAGAACAGCACTGTCCCCATTAAGTGCAAACCAAAAGCGACAATAATTGGCACTAGACAGGTAATAATTTATACCTGAAGTCTACTTCGTACCTGATTTCATATGACTTTGGTCGTAAATATTGGGCTTGATAGCACCGAATATTAAAGACAATATAACAGCTCACTGTTTTAAATAAATAGGTTAGCACATTTAAGTAGAGCAAAAATTATGACCAGTTGAAAATTTAACTATTAATCAATGTTTTCTATTTGTATGCTTCATAACTGTATAAATATGTTAAATAAAATGAATTGTAATAATTTAGTAATCCAAACCGTTCATAGTTGCGTAGCGTCGTTTAACCCATAACAAAGTGTACCGAATATAGGATTTTTAAAGTCATTCCTAGTTTTGGCAAAGTGTAGGTTTTTTACATTACATTTTAATTTTTATTTCTTCTTCAAACGTCAAGATACGTCACTCTTTTTTCTTATTTCCATTATTAATTATTTTTATTATTATTTTGAAGCTATGTTCTTGTGGCATTCTAAAGTAATTAATATTTTAATGGGAGTAAAATTGAAGGTTAAAGTAAGTTTATAGACGTTTTAATTTTCACTTCAGAAATGGAAATTGTGGCTTATTTCCATTAAAATAGTAATTAATAATTTCTTTTGCTAAAATATGTTTTATGTTCTCTTACAAAAAATTAAAACTCAGAAGTAAACCAAACGTTTTTATTGCACATTTTCACAATTTTTCTACAAAATAAAATAAAAAAATATTAAAACTATTTTGACTATAAAATTATGACGGTACATAATATGACAACTACCTTAATGATTATAAGATCTTGCGAAAAAAGGGACATGAAAAATCATATAAAGCTTTTCTGATATCTATAGTAAGTTAAGAACAAGAAGAATAATTTTGCGGAAATATATATTTTAATGAGAAGTGTTGTCTAAAGGGATCTAAATTAATATTAAGAAAATAAAAGGGTACCTGTTGGCGTGTATATTGTGCTTTGTTGTGATACTAAAGTAAATAGTTTGATTTTTGCTAGTGTCATAATAAAAAGACATTCTTGATATTCTTATTATAAGGCCAAGTTCTAGATTTGTAAAATATTTTTTTAATTCGTAGTTCTTTAAATAGGCTGTTATCGGATCTACTGGGTCATTAATATATAAATTGATACATCAGATGTTAGTTATAATTATTTGTTTCATTTTAATGAAGTATTTTATTGAATTGAAGTATTTAAAGGTCAAGTGTATCTATTTAAACAATTTATGTAGAATATTTGATTTGACTTAACAATATCTTGATAATAATAGTCTCTTGATACATCTTTCAAATAACAATTTTTATCACTTTGTTATCACTATACATAAACTTTTACTTTTACTTTTTTCAGTCATTATTTTAATTCAGTTTGTTACCAATAGATCACATTGTTTTGCAACCTTGTTGGAAATATTCATTCCTGGCTGTAAATAGTGCTGTTTTTTAATGCTTCTATTTTCTTAACTTTGTTGTTTAAGGTAGTAATTCCTCACACTGGATGTCATTATTGGTGTATTAAGTGTTGTTAATATGTGAATCTATATTTGTTCGAAATATTATAGTTGCTTGATAATATATACTTAGGATATAAGTGTCTTTTCTTCTGCTTTAACATTTCGATAATTGACCGAAGGATTTTTTTAACCTAGTTATATTAACTTATCTCTTACCTTACGGATACATTATTTGCAAGACACTATTGCCTTTTTGTATTGAACGTGGTAAAAAATATATAATTATTATAATCAGCTATTTTTTATGATGAACAAAAGTTATTATTTTCCAAATATTCGTATCAAGGCACAAACATTCCAATTAACTTTTAATTTAGTCATTTGTTTGATTATGCTTTCATCTTATTTTTTCAAGAAATTGTTCTGTTATATTTTCTAGAAATTGTGTTATGTAGTTATTGGTGTCTAAAAGAGTCTATCAACAATATGTAGTATACAAGCTTTAATTAAGATTTAGTTTTTTTATGTAATTTTAATACTTAATAATATGACCCGCAAATGGCATAAATTTGAATGCAAAACAGCCAATGGAACCAGAGATGTAGTTTTTGAGTCTCAAGTAAACGCTGATAAGGTTGTGACAGATCATTATTAGGATTTCAGCTACAACTTAAGCTATTGGGGCTAAAATCCGTACATAATAGAGTGTTTGATATAAACGATTAGAAAAACTTCAACAACAAAAATTTAGAGACACAGTAGCTCTACTATATTATACTACCTTTTTTATAAGAATATCAAGAAAAACTTGTAAGTAAGTAGTAAGTAAAAAAAGTAGGTTGGTGGAAAATAAAGCACTGAAAGAATAGTGATTTTTCATACATAAATTACTAATTTATGAGATAACTGTAAATTATAAAACTACGTAATCGAGAGGTCTGCAAATATTTGCTACTATCTATCTATGTACTTAAAAATACCCCTTTATATATCTGGTAATGTTTTCAATACATCAACACATCTGTTTTAAAAATACTTTCCACATAACTCTAACCTAAACATTTGTCAACCGTTTTTTGTCAGTACTATATAAACTTAGAACTAGCGTATAAAAATCACATTGTATAAAAACATTCCACTGGCATTATTCACTATATTTACAAATGTACAGTTCTTTCCTGATGGAGGTTGAGCTCGTTTAGAAGCTTCGTGGAGCACCGTATTCGCTTGAAGGAGGACCGCCAGCAGGAGGAGCTCCGTAGGAGCTGTCTGGAGTGCCGCTGGGAGCGTAGCCACCTTCTTCCTTCTAAAATTATAAGAGAAGCGATTTTTTAAAACATGAAGCACAAAAAATTTTTACAAATGACTACAGAATTGCTGGAAAAACTGTGGTCTATAGATTATTACATAATGATGCGATTCAGAACTTTAGATTTATGTTAAATTCTTTTTCTCAATGTGCCATGCCCAAATTTAGGCGTAGGCAATTTCTTTGCATATATGTATGTTACATATCACTCAGTGTACACAGATATAGAAGACCTACAGTTTATGTTGGATCTAAATGACTGGACTATCTGTCTGTACTGGACAGGTAGTCCTTACCGTACTGTAAGGAGCTACAGAGGAGCTGTGCTAGACAGGCCTAAATTGTTGCGTTTACTATATTATAATAAATTCTAAGGATATATGCGAGAAAAATTTTGTGAGGAATTGTGTATCCAATAAGAAGGAGACATCTAGAACTGGGGGAATAATTAATCATAAGATAGGAGATACAATTGAATGAGATATTATAATGTAATTTATAAAAGCTTTAAAGTTAGTTAGAACACATATAGTGAACAGAACCCAACCCTTTGATTAGGAAAGTTACCAGATACATGCCACAAACAGCAGGAATGAGAAAGAGACCTAAAAAGAAATGGAACGATATTTTGTTAGAGCTATCTTATAATAAAAGTAAAATACTGAAGAAAACTGTACTAATAGAGAAGAGGATATAAAAATATAACTAGTCAAATTATGCAATAATTTGTAAAGAAGAGAGCGGCATTAATCCTACCAGGAAGGGAAAGTCTTGATAACGAATATTAGACTGCCTTTAATTTCTTAAATCTAATAAATATCTTTTTTACCAGCTAGGTAATAAATTATACTTAGTACATTTATCAAAAATTAACGTTATTGGTAAAACAAGAAAGGCTTCAGAGTCAATGCCAACACAGCAGATCTCCACAGCGATGCCAGATATTACGAAAAAACTTTAAAACAAACAGTATAGTAAGGCAGTACGTGTATCAGATGACCGTGACCAGTGGATAAATATTATTAATTAAATTATGTGAGCTGTTGAATTTGTTGAAAGTTCATGGCTACAGAATGGGGAACAAAGATATCCAAATATTATGTTATGCAGACGACGCCGCATTAATCGCCGAGACAGAAGACGAGCTCCAAAGATTAACACATATCTTCAATTCAACAGCTAAGAGATACAATATGATAATATCAGCAAACAAAACCAAATGTATGACATCTAAATACCCACTACGGTGTAAAATCGAAATTGATGGGAAAATAATAAAGCAGAAAACAAGGTTTAGATATCTGGGAATAGATTGATATAATTACGGAGATATTGAAGAAGTACGATAATAAAGCTTAAAATCAAGTAAAGTGGCGGGTTCTCTTAATGACAAAATCTGGAAGAACAAAAACCTAAGACAAGACACAAAAACAAGAATCTATAAAGCAGCAATTAGACCTATATTAACATATACGGCGGAGACGAGACCTGACACATCTAAAAAGAGACGATTGCTAGAAAAAACAGAGATGAAAATACTACGACGAATATCAGGGAGAAGTCTATTGGATAGGGAAAGAAGTGAAAACATAAGAAGAGCAATATAGAAGACATAAATGGATGGGTGACAAAACGAAAACAGGAGTGGAAAGAACATATCAGTAAAATGGCAGAGAATAGAATAATACGAATAGCACGAGATAAATCACCAAATGGACAACGAAGTATTGGCAGACCAAGAAAAAGATGGTGCGACAATTTAGGAGGCTAATATTGAAAAAGAAACAGGCTTTAAAGCCTACATACTGGAAGGAAGAAAAAGAAGAGCTGTCGAAGCTTATTACTGAACTACAACACATCTGATATGATTTTAATAACTACCATGATGAAGAAAAATATAAATCAGCCTCATTATCAAAAATTTAAATGCATCAAAATATCCGCTTTATTTCGTCAATTTTTTCCAAGAGTATGAATCAAGAGCTAATTTCCTACTGCAGTCTCTGAGGTAATGCTATATTTTCCGCTTTTGTATATATATATATATATATATATATATATATATATATATATATATATATATAAGAGAGAAGGCTCTAACAACTGTCTTTATGCTTACATTGACCAAATACTATGTATGCAAAACAGGATTAAAAAATATCAGTAAATATGTCTTTCCTCCTACTTAACACAAAGCATAATCTCTCGAACAAGCTATAGATTGTCGAATATCTATGAGTCAGAATCCAAGAAAAGTAGTAATGCTATTAATCTTAACACTAGACTGCAACACTAGAAGCAACTGGCAAAGCACAATCAAGTAACATTTGTTGTGGGTTCCAGGGGATAAGGATTTGTGTAAGAAGCAGCTAGTACGCCTTTATCGGATCCGAAACATTTTGAGATATACCGAAATGTCGCAATCTATTAGAGCTTCAGAAAACTGAACTATAAGTAAAATAAGTTGTTCTTACAGGACACTGCTTACTCAGATATATTTGCTCTAAAATGAAAAAAGTGGACACAGCAACAAGTGGATTCTGCGAAAATGCAGAGAAAACATATTTTTGCAATTGCAGGCCATTGTTATCACCAATCTTACCACGTATCAAACGTATTTCTGAAATAGACAATAGGTTTTCTAAGAAATTTAGATAGTTTATAGAAAATCATAGCTAACTAAAACAGCTGAATCCGCTCTATCGATTTTTGAAAAGAAAAGTGCTACGCAAGATATTCGGAGCGGTCTGTGAGAACGGAATATGGAGGCGTAGATATAACTTTGAACTGCAGAATATCTACAAGCATACGTTTGGTGGTAAAGATATTACCACTATAATTAAGCGAAACCGCCTGCAGTGGGTAGGACATTAGCCCGGGCCCCTGAATCGAACATGATAAAAAATATTCTAACAGCACAACCCGTGGAATGAGAAGGCGGGGTAGACCAAAGCTGAGGTGGATGGATGGTTAACACAAGATGCGAGAGACAAGAGACAAGAGAAGATCGGAGTCGGCAACTGTAAAATGCAAGCAAGGGACAGAACAGAATGGCGTAAAAAGCTTGAGAAGGTCGAGGCCCTCTAAGGGCTGTAGCACCAAGATGATGATGATATTAGGAAATCATAGATGTATGGTATGAACCAAAGATCTTTCTGATTCCAATGTAAAGAATTCTGTATTCCAATCCTTCTACAATTGGACAATAAACTCAACCCAAAATTAATTTGTCACAGCAAGATTATGTATTGAGTTTACGTATGCATCGTTGGAACATCGCCTTTATTGCTAAAATTTAGCACCCTTTGACTTCGGTCTATTACAAAATCTAGTGAAATGTGTAACTACAAAACCATTTGACTAAAATGGAATTTGAATTGTGGTCGAAGAATATTTTAAAAACTTTTTCTACATTAGAGTCCAACATTCGAAATATATCTTGATTATTTATGAAACATAGAACAAAAAAATGGAACACTACATGGAGAAGTGAATACATTCTTTTTCAAATACTAAGCATATTTCCTTACCTCCGACACAAAACGTTAGGGCTTTTTTTATAAAATACTCAATTAAAACAAAAACATACCTGTGTCTTGTATCTGATGAAGTATACTTCTGGTTTGCTGGGTTGAGTTGGTGCAGGAGTTGGAATAACGATTTCTGGTTCAGGCTCTGGTTTCTTGACCAAGACGTAGACCAAGGTCTTTTCTTCGTTTTGTGGTTGAGCAGGAATGATGGGTGCAGTTGGGGTTGGTGGAGTTGGGGCCTGTAACATAAATTATAGTTGATAAAACATGCTAAAAAAATCTAAAAAATACATATTTTGTGAATTTAATAGACCTGGCGTATTCACCAAAATATTTAGTATGGTGCATTCGCCATATTTTAAATCTTTGAATTCTTTATAATTATTTAGTCCCAAACATATTGACAGAGGATTGTGAAAAAAAAAATTTAAAAATTTTTGTTTCTCTGCACGATTTTTGTCTTAATTTTACGAAGCTGTATACTTATTATTGTAAATTTAAATATTTCTCGAATTATTATATTCTGAGATCTACAAGATCTAATATCGATTTAAATATTCGGGTTTTGATGTGTCCAGAAATGTATTTGTTCTTTTGCTTCTTTTATGCTCTTATTTATTGTTTATTATATCTTCTTAGTTTTTTCTTTATTAATAATTTTATGTTAATTTTTAAACACTTGATTTTTTAAGGTTTAATTTTTTAAACACTTTAACAACTTTATCCTTAGTTTATTTCTTTTATTATATTTAAATCAGATTCAGTCTTTCACTATTTCCCATCTTCTTCTATAATTTTCCGTAAATATAATGTTATCCTGAGTATTTTTATTAGTTTTTGCATATCATAAAATATAAAAAAAGATTTATTATAAAAGTTCTGACCTTAATGAAAATGATTTTGTAATGTTTCTGTGGTGGAGCTACAGTGATGGGCTTCCTGGGAGCTGGTATGTCAGTCTCTGGTGGTGGAACGTGTACATAGACATGTTTCTGGACGATGGGACCGGCTGCTGGAGCTCCATACTGAGGTGATGGAGCAGATGGTCCGGAAGGATAACCTCCTCCAGGAGCGCTTGGTGCACTTGGAGCGCTGTAGCTGTATCCAGCTTCCGGTCTCGCCGAGCTGACTGCTACCAAACTGAGAATGGCCTAAAGACAAAATTACATAAGGTAAATTACAACATAATAATAAATATTGTTGTTAAGAAGCAGTAAAGACGCGAATAATAAACTCACAAGCTTTTAGAGTATCGTAAATAATACGAGCAAGCTAATCGTAGCCATAGCAATGCGACTAGTATATATATTTTTTCTACCGTCAATGACAATAATTAAATACAATTTATTTGTTTATATATAAGTTTATTAATCGTAGAAAACTAAAACAAATAGTATGAAATTAGTTATATGTGATGTTAAAAATAGAAACAAATGATTTTTTCAGTATAAATCCACACTTAGATGCCATTAATTCTCATTAAAGATAGTAAATAATATTATACTGCCACAAGCTTCAGAATAATATTAGGCAATTCGTTGCCCTTCGAAAATTTTAGTACAAAACATAACATGTCTTACTAATATTTTATTTTAACTTTTAACTTGCCATATTCTTTTTTGTTTTTATAGATTGGTTACTTTAACTTTAAAGAAATGAATTGAAAATCGTAATAATTAACAAAATGAATATGCCATGTTATATTTTAGAAAATATTGGCTTCGATATTATTAAAAAGATTAGTACCATACGCCGAAGAAATAGTTGGTGACTACCAGTGTGGTTTCAGGCCTGGCAGATCGACTATTGATCAAATATTTACAATAAGACAAATGCTTGAAAAGTATTGGGAATATAATCACGACGTGCATAAGATTTTTATAGACTTCAAACAGGCTTATGATTCAATTAATCGTGCAACATTATGAAAGGCAATGATCGAGCTCGGCATACCCAAGAAACTAGCTGCGGTAACACAAATGTGTGTAAGTAATTTTTTTGCATAAGTTAGAATAGGGGGAAAATATCAAATGCTTTCTGCGTAAATTCTGGACTGAGACAGGAGATCCGTTGTCCCCATTGTTGTTTAACCTGGCCTTAGAATATGTCATGCGAAAAATATATCCAAAAATCAAACCAGACATAACTGCTCGGGGAGCAAAAATCATACTCGCCTTTGCCGATGACGTAGACGCAGTAGCACAATCAACATTAGAAATTAAGGATATTTTCTCGAGCTTTGAAGAAGCTGCATTAAACATCGGTCTAAAAATAAATGAAGACAAACAAAATACATGGTCGTCTCAAAACAAGAACGACGGCGAATAAGGCAAAACATTACTATAAATGATCACAACTTCGAAGTGGTTAAAGAATTTAAATATCTAGGAGCAACAATCACAAATGACAACAAATTAGAGCGAGAAGTTGAAACGAGAATATAATGGCAGGAAAATAGATCTTTCTTTGTAATGCAACATCCGATAAAGTCGAAACTTCTTTCACGAGGTGCAAAGATCTGGATATATAAGACCATAATACGACCAGCAGTCGCGTATAAAAGCGAAACATGGACGATAACAAAAAGAGAAGTAAATAAATTGCTGGTATGGGAACGTAAAATTCTTCGAATGATATATGGCCCTTGCAGAGACAGCGTGACAAACGAATGGAGGGGTAGATACAATAACGAGCTAGAGTCTCTATTCGGAAAAGAAAATCTAGTCAGATATATAAAGGCCAATAGATTCAGATGGGCAGGACATGTGATATGCAGTAACGACAATCGCCTTATAAACAATGTGTTCTGGGAAAGGCCAGATGAAAGAAGGTCTGTAGGGCGGCCTAGAAAAAGGTGAAAAGATGCAGTCAGAGAAGATCTAGAGAAGATGGGAGTGCGACAATGGGAATTACTGGCACAGGACCGAGAAACATGGAAGGCAATAGTAAACGCGGCAAATGCTCACGAAGAGTTGTAGCGCCATTGATGATGATGATATTTTAGAAATATAAAAATTATTTAAAGAAAAAAGCACTTAACAGATGATGAATCCGTATAACACACCGTATTACAATCAAATACCAATGGAATCAAGTTAGTCTATAATAAGTATAATATACAGAAGAGGCGACAAATTATTAAGTTTAAGAGTGCTGAAGAGAAGTCAAGCTCAAGCTAAGAAAAATATTGTGCAGCTGGCAAATCGGAATGGACAAACAACAGATAAAGAGAAGATAATTACGATAGTTGAAGAATTTTACACGAAAATATATAGAGAATAAGATAAAAAAGACATTATCAAATGAAGAGAAGTCATTGTAGGTTCAAAGTATATTCGTTAAATAACAATTAAAAAAGTCTTGAAGTCATTAAATTCAATGAAAACCAATAAAGCAGCTAGTGATGACCAAATCAATATTGAGCCAGTTAAAGTAGGAGGAAAGTCAGTAATAAAAGCATGGCACAATTATGTTACTCATTCCTTTCAAAAGACGTTACACCGTCTTATAAAATAAAGCTGTTATAGTAGCCATACACAAAATGGAGATTATAATTGAGCTGAAGAACTATATACCTTTTAGGTTGTTATCATTTAATTCTTCTTCTTCTTCTTAGTCGTTAACCTGATGCAGGAATCGTGATATCATGAAGCTATTAGCTAAAATTTCCCAATGTTCCTCCACTTTTTTCTATCTTCTGTCATTCTAGCACATTCTGACAATGGAGCGCCAATGGTAGCAACAATATGGTCCGTGTATTGGAGATCTACCTCTATTTCTTTTGCCTTCTACTTTTCTCTGGATTGTAAGTTTTTCAAGTCCATTTCTTTGAAGCACATGTCCAAAATAGCTTATTATTTATTCTGATATTTGTGTTCTTAGTCTTTTCTTTATGTTTAGCTTAGTTTAATGATATGTTGACGTTAAAACTATACTTCTGCCAACCTTGTGGAAAAGCAAGATTTAAAACTGGATACAAAACAAAAAGCATAAGTCGTGAATTGAAAAAACCACTGAATACAATGAACCCCTGATACTTTTCTGTATCGACTTTGTAAAAGTGTTTGACAATTTCAACCAAAGTGTACTTGTAAAGTTCTATGTTTTAATGCAATAAAGAATAGCCAACCCATACATATTCCTCATCAAATAGATTTATTGTCAGTTACAACTTCTGTAAGGACTTAATGAGAAAGCGAATACTTTACTTTTGAAAGAGGCATTTAGCAATGAGCAAATTCTAAATAAAAAATTAACGAATACTATAGCACCAGTCGAACGTCTCGAAGATGGTAGATGGAACAAAGAAGTCGGAAACTGGCGACCGTACGATGCGAAGAGACCAAGAGGAAGACCTCAAATGCGCTGGAGCGACGATATCAAAAGAGTCGCAGGACCAATGTGGAAACACCTAGCACACAACAGGGATGAATGGCGAGAAATGGGAGAGGCCTTTATTCAACAATTCGGATAGAAAGGGCTATAAAAAAATAGCACCAGTAGTACAATAATTGATCTCTAATGAAACAAATAAAGTTTAAAAATTCAGCAAGTAAACAAGATTTAATAAAAAAGAGACAACAACTTGTGCAAGACCGCACACTTAATAAAATAGAAAAAAAAACAGAAACCAACAAAATAATTAAGAAAAAGTATGGGGAAGACATAAGTAAGGACTAAATAACACAGTTATATAAAATACTATAAGAAAATAAAGGTACACGAGTCCGAAAGAAGAAAACAAGCAAAGGTAGAAAACTAATTACAAAACTAAATAATGATGAAAACAGGGAAATTACTGAAATTCAAAAAATAACTACCGTGATAGAAAACTAGATTGCATACATTATTTCAATACAACTTATCAAATACTTTAAAGGAAAAAACTTTCGATCAGTACGTGTGACTCAGATCCAAGTGACTCAGAGAGCTATGGGACAGAGAATGCATTTACATTAAGGCTGTTTTCGCAGCTAAAGCATATTGCGATTTGAAGTGGGCGTATCACTTACTTTTCTACACTGCTTACGTCAGACCCTACGTGACTTCCTAATGTGAAATCTGTAGTGAAGCGACAATGATGAGGAAACGTTTCACTATTAGATTTCAGTATTTTTTAGCAATTTTCTTCAAAGTTTGAATACGCTTTTCTCGATTATTACTGGACACAGAAAGGTGAAAAAAAAATCAACGATTACAGAAAAAAAACTCTTTCAACTGATGGCGTAAAAAGTTTGGTTATAATAGAACGTTAAACAGTATAATCCAATTTTTCAACAGAAAATTTAAAAAAATAAAAAAAGTAAAACCATCAGTTTAAAGGCAACATAATTTCGTATAACATGTCCAAATTTCGAGACATTTCGTCGTAAATAACAGAGAAAAAATTTTTGGTGCACCGATAAAAACAGCCCTAAGCTCAACGATAAATTTTTGTTTTCAAAAACACAATTTATGGCCCAAGTTAAGACAGCCAAATAATCGAGCTGAAGAAAAGAATAAAACCTAGTTGGGCTGAATTAGAAATAATAAAGAAATTTTTAGGTTCCACATGAGAAAGTGAATGGTTGAATAACATTAGATATGCAGATGACACTATAGTTTTTGCCGATAATCTGAATGACTTACAGATGTTAACAAATCGCATAACAGAAGTCAGCAACAGATACGGACTAGCTCTTAACATAAAGAAAACCAAATTTATGACAATTAGTAAAAAACCAATACTAAACGCTCAACTTACAATCAACCAACAGAATATCGAAAGAGTCGAGCAATATACATATCTAGGCACCAATTTAAATAGCCAATGGAACTACTCAAGAGAAATTAAACAGCTAATAATAACAGCAAAAGCAGCATTCGTTAGAATGAGAACCATTTTCAACAGTTGAGGCATATCATTAAAGACAAAATGCCGTCTATTGAACTGCTAAATATTCACAGTTCTGCTCTACGGAATGGAAGTGTGGACACTGATTGTTGCATCTACGAATCGGCTCGAAGCTTTCGAAATGTGGTGTTATAGGCGCATCTTACGTATATCCTGGGTTGACAGAGTTACTAATGTGGAGGTCCTGCGTAGAATGGGAAAATAATGTGAAATTCTCATGACCGTCAAAACTAAAAAGTTGGAATATCTAGGACATAT